TTTAAAATATACTCTTGTAATAAGGAGATACATATATATCTGCCACCATTACGTAAAACTCTTGTGATTTCCTACAATGAAACAAAATACAAAAATAACAAAAATTATTCATTCATTCATTATACACATACACATACACACATATTATTAATATACCTTAAAATATTTATTAATAGTAGATATTGTTCCTTCTTTATTATCTGGCATAAGAGCATCTAAAGTACCTTTATCCAAAATAACATTAAATGTATTATCAGAATATGTCATTTTTGTAGCATCCATATGTTCATAAACTAATTGTGGTCTTATTGATGCATTAATATCACACATTTGTTTGATGACAATATGTGATATATCAATATTTGTAATATTTCTGTAACGAAAAAAATATATAAAAAAATGTTAATTGTTAATAAATAATTTTATATAATTTTTTATAAAATCAAAAAATTTAATAAAATTAAATTTAGTAATAATAATAATATAAAGATTTCACACCTGTAACCAGCATCATACAAACACATACTAACAGTAGAATTACCACAACCAACAATTAAAACATTGTCTTTTACTTTTATATATTTTAAAAATATACTACGTAATTCTGGATATTCTCCATACCTAAATAAAAAATAAAAACTCAATATATTTAAAATAAATATATATCTAATAATACATTGTAAATATTAATATAAAATTCATACCATTCAAAATTCTTTTTACCACGTTTTTTAAAAAATGTGTTCCAATATTCAACTTGACTAAATTCTTCGTGTGATTTTGGTAGCAAATTCATATTTTCTATGTTTTAATTTACAAATTTGATAACATTGAAGTTATTTCTAAAATCGCTGGATTGTATACTAAATAATTCCTTAACGTTAACCTAAAATAACACTACATTCATCAAGCTTTAATATAAATTTTATAAAGAAATAATTAAATTATAGACACATGTTATTATTTGATTTACATTTTTGATTTTTAAAATTATATTTATATTTGTTTTATTAATGTTATTTTATTTATAATTATAATATTATATTAATATAATAAAATAATAATAAAGTAATAATAAAATAATAAAATATATATTAACTATTTACAGATATATACATAAATAAATATATTTTATAGAATAAAATTTACCATAAGAAAAATGAAATATTTTTAACGTGTTTGTTTTAGATACAAGAACTACTTCATTTAAATTTATTAATAGTCAATTTTCATGTAAATATATCATTAAAGGCGAACTTATAGTATTATATATTATACTATCATTGGATTTATGCTGCTGATTTATAATAATACAATATGTTAGATAATTTCTATCCGAACATTTGTATATTACTATTAGTAGTAGTAGTTATTAAATAGTTAATTGAAATATATATTATATTTCATTATAAATTTTTTTTCATTTTTGAAAAAAAAAAGAAAAAATTTTTTTATTATTCTTGTTAAATCAAATTAATCCATTTATAAAAAATTCTTTGATTAATATCAAAGAATTAAACATTTAAGCTTTTAAAATATTTAAAATTTCATCATCATAAAACAAAAAAAATTTTAATATGTGCATTTATATATTATTTAAAAAATTTTTGAAATTATTTTTCTTTAAAAATATTATTTATTGTTAGAAATATTATTTAACATTTATTTAAGTCATTATTACTTAGAAATAGTAAGAATAGTAAGAATAAAATTTATATTCTTATAAGCGATATATGTTTTTTCAATATATATAATTGCTTTCAATTTATATTTCTTAAATGTAATAGATTTTTTATGTAACAATAAGCTTTCAATAAGCAAAATTTTATAACATAAAGTTCGCAAATAGTAAAAAACTTTAAGACACTACAAGAAATTTGATTTGAAAAAGAAAAAATATCAAATACTCTCGATTTTTGCAAAATTAAAAGTATTAATATATTTTTAATTCTCATAATAATATAATAATAATTTTATTTTTCGTATTTTATAATTAAAATAATATTTTTCTAATATTTTTTTCATTCTTAAAAATTTTTTATGATAACAATAACAAACACGTAAAACTTGTAACATGTCAATTTATTACAAACAAAGTCAATACATAAGTATGTACAACTACTTTGACACATTTAATATATATGTACATTATGTATAAATAATACGCACACACATTCATAACTCACATTCATATATGTTAATATAAAAGCTTTTCTTTGTTTGAATATGTAAATGTTGTCATTTTTAATTAACTGATAACAATAAAATATAAGAAGATATAAACAAGATGTTAGATTATTTGCAATTAAAGAATACATGCACAGCCTAAAACAACAAGCAATTCAATGTATTCTATCACCATGGAAAATACTGTATTTGTTATATAATAATTGCTGGAACTAAATCTCCTCTAGAATCTTAAGTTATAAAAGTTTTGGTCTAAATTTTCCATGTAAATTTTTAGTTTCAAGTTACATAAAAATAATATTTTAATGTTACATAGAAATATATGCATATCTTGCATATTTCAATTTACTTGAGTGTAGTAGATTTACAAATTATAATTTAGTATAATATAAAATTGTAATATATGTTATCCAACATTACTTAATATCTAGTAACATTTTTTTTAATATTCCGCATAAAATGTAATTATATAAATTCAATTTTATTATATACTTATTAATCATTCTTTTGAATTGGATCTATTTAGTTTTATATTTTATTATTAAACTATTTATGTTACAATTTTTTTTCAATTTATTTATTAATACATTTTTCTTTTCTTTTAAAGATGGAATATAGAATACATAAAGATAAAATATATTTTAAAAATTGCAATTTTGCTAAAAAATTTTTATATTTTATTTTTGAAAAATTGTGATTTAATTTAGTTAAACTAAATAAAAGCATATAATATTTAACATATAATAAAATTAATTTTATAAATTTTTTTTTTAGTTTACAAATAATACTATAAATTTGTTTCTCTTTATATATTATTATACATGTTTTAATTTGTAATAATAGTAATAATTTGTAATAATTTAAATGTAAAAGTTTTGTTAAAAATATAAAGGAATTAAATTGAATTATAGTTTCAAATAGACATGTTTTGCATGATTAAATGTAAAATGATTAATTTATGAAGGCAGATATAATTGATTCATATATTAAAATATAGTATAATTTAATAGTAAATAATATTAATTGAATAACTCAATAATAAGAAAACAAAACTAACATAACTAAAATGAAAATTATTATTTTATTAAAAAATATTACAAGATTACATATTATAATTTAATATCTTCTTATATTGTGAACAATACAAATTAATATAATTGTTTAATTAAATTGAAAAATTAAATGTTTTTAAATTAAAGAAAAATTAATTAAATGCATCATATAACTTATCTGCCTTATTTTGATATTATGAACTATCTGTAAAAATATGTATTTTCAACTATAATAATTTAATTTTTATAAGAATTGCAATTGAAATTTATTTATTTCTTTTATTGTAGGAATTCTTGTTTTATTTTTTCAATAAATTAATAACTTTTAGAACAATAAAAACTGATCAATCCTAATATATTTGAATAATTAATAAATAATTTTTTATAAAGAATAAAAGATATCAGAAAGAAATCCTACAATTGCATTTTTATATTAAAAAATATTTACATGGAAAATAATTACTTTATTGAAGCATTGAAAAATTGATTTTTTTTTTATATATAATAAAAAAGCTGAGGTTGTATGTCATCAGTCTCAGCATTATTTATTAACTATTATAATAATCAGTATTGCACTCTCAGTTATGATCAGTTATGATAATGAATTTAAGGAGCTTGAACAAGTCTCTGATTATATTTAAACTGGTGACGGGTAACATGGCCCCAGAAGTCTGTACTTCTTATACAATTAGAAAAAAATATTTTTTTAATAATATAGAAAAAATAACAAATTATTTAAAAATTAAGAAGAAAAATAACTTAGTGATAGTTTGATACATTACAAATAAAAGAAGCTTAAGATTAGAATTAAAAAAAATATTTTTACTAATTCCAAAATTGAATAAATAGAAGAGTGACATCAAAAATAAAATAGATATTTACAAAAAAAATCTTAAATAAAAAACAAGATAAATGAAAAACAAAATAATATAGAAAATAATTCATTATATCAAAATAATAAATTAAAGAAATGAATACTTATTTTTGACAAAATTAAGAAAAATATATTTTGAAAGTATTCTTTCAAAAAAAATGACTAGTATACTAGGAAAAACTATTTAAAATGGCTAAGATTTACACTTAAAATCATAAGCATAAAAATTGATAAAGTAAAAGCAATAATAACCGTCTATAAATAATTAAACTATTGCTTATAAATTTAAGAATTATAGATTATGCTTTAATTTATAACAATATAAGTAAGAAATGATTTCAAAATTTTTCAAACATTTACCCCGTCACCAATATTTTACTTTACTTTGCAATAAATTGTATTTTTGATGTTTTATGAATATGTTATATTCAACAAAATACAAATCTTTTCAACATGCAAATATTGTATTCAAAAAGATTTTTAAATATAAATATTTTGAACCGATCAAATGCTCTGGCAGTTAAAGGCTTTATTCTTAATATTTATGTTATTTATCTTAAATCTTAAATTATCAAATTATTTAATAATATAATCCACGGTGAAAGAATTACAAAATTTGATTCTGACAAAATAGATACAATAAAATTTTGTTCTATTATATTATTCTCAACTGAATAAAAATTGATATTTGTTGATTTAAGTATTGTCATTTTAGTAATAAATTATTTTTCACAAAATTTTCATAAAATTGTGAAGACAATTATAAAGCTAATAATTTTATTGCTTAAGTAGGTATAATACCCAAATTAGCATACTCTATGCAATATGTATTTCTTTAAAAATAAGAAAAAAAATATTTGGTTAACATTGGTATTCGTCATAAAGTATCATCTATGATATGAAAGTATGGTAGTAACCCAAAGAAGTCGTTGCCAAATCCAACGGGGTATTCTGCATGGTCCAAGACTAGCCATTGCACTGGCTATATGACGCAACCAATCCCGAATACCGCGTGGTGCATGTCCTCCATTGACGTAGAGAACATAAGTAAAACCATCTTTACATTTGCCATGAATTACATAATAATAAGGTAGAAAACTATGTAATCGAAAGTGACATCTTTGATAAAATAAAATAGCTGGTGCATTGCTAGATAATACATGCAGGAAGACTGCTTTTACGGAAGAACGTTCTGGAGCAGTGACATGTGCTAATAATTGTTCCAATAATAATGATGCAATCCCATTTCTTCTATATGCGCGACGGACACCTAAGCTAAGAATATAACCAACTAAACAATCATTTCCTAAACTTGAACACAAAATACCACGATCTTCTGTGTTCAATTTAGCATAAGGCTTTATTTCCGCGACAATGAGTCCAATTATTACTCCACCATACACAGCTGCAAGTGCATAAAACCGTGAGGAACTTGTTATATCTTCATACCATGAATAAGGATAATCTATGACAAAATAAATTAATACTTTAATACAAGTATTAATATAATACTTAATATAAGATAAATAATTTATAAAAATGATGCATAAAATAACATGCATAATTACAAAATAATTATAAAAATCTTCATTCTTAAATTTTTTATTATTCAAAAATTTGTAATATATTTACTAATTAATCCTTTATGGTCTTATTTTTTCAAAAATATAAACATACATATATGTATATAATTTTTATTTTTAAATTATTTACAAATCATTTTTATAATTTAATTTAATATATATTCTAATGTAATTTAATGTGTATTATCCTAAATAAAAAATTAAAATATTTTCGTTTTAACAAATGTAATTATTTATTTTTATAAATTATATTATATATTTAATTAAAAAATAAATAAAACTATAATAATATATTTATAAAATATTACAATTATTTAATAATTCATATAATTGAATATTTATAATGCATTTATTTAAATATAATAAAATCTTAAAAAATTATTTAATATTTTGAAAAGATAAACAAATTAGAAGAAAATGTAATAAATTAATATTATTAATTTCTATTATTTATTTAATAATTTTTAATAATGTTATATTTTTGTTTTTTTACTTACTTTTTTTATTAAATAGTACTTATTATTTAATAAAAAGAAATGATAACATTAAAAAATGGTAATAAGAGATAGTGATAAATGATAATAATAATATAAACAATGAAAAATAATAATAAATAATCAATAATATATTAATATTTATTATTAATACAATACAATTTTTATATCTTCTTTTATATAAGTATATAAATATAGAAAATATAGATATAAAATAATCATTTATGTTTAAAAAAGGAAAATAAAAAACATTAATATCAAAATAATACAGATATATATCTATATATTATATATATTTATATATTATATTATAATAATGCTGAAATATATAATATTATACATATATTATACATAATTGCTAAAATATATATAAGATATAATAAATTAAAAGAGAGCAAATTAAAAATTATTTGATAATAAAATTTATTTATATAAAAATAAAATATAACAAAAATATATATATATATATATATATCTGTAAGTCAAAATTTAAAAAAAAAATAGACAAAAAATCCTATAATTATCTATAATATTTTTTTTAATATTTCATAATATTTTTTTTAAATTCATTACATTTATAAATTATATTTACATTAAATGTAACTATTTTTAACTATTTTTAAAAGGATATTTATTATAATCTTAAAAAGTGATATATGATTAAGTAATAATATAAGTATATAAAAATAATAATTATATTTTATCTTTATTTTTTTTGTTTAAAATAGATTAATACTATAATTATATCATAATAATTAAAAAGTTTTAATATAAACTTATAAAGATAATTAGAATTTTTATTTAAAGATTAAATTAGAAAAACTGCAATTTTAAAATAATTAATATAATTTTGAAACATAGATGTATGTGTTTACAAAAATATATCTTATATACAAACAAATTATATATATTATACATGATTAAAAATAAAATCTTTCTAAGGATTAAAAAAATAAATAAATAAAATTCTATAAAGAATATATTTCTATTATTCATATTGCATTTATATAATTATTAAAAATATGAAATAGAAAATATAAAGTAGAAATTATGATACAACTTTCAAATATTTAAAATATTTCAATATATATTATGAAAAACTTTATAGTTAAAAATAAAATAATAAATAATTTATTTAAATTAAACATAATAATCAAATAATGAATGATTAGTATATATATCTAAATGTAAATCTAAAATAAAAATATATATCTTCTATCAAATTATATAATTATTATAATAAAAATTTTTAGAATAATCAAAACATTAATAAAAATTTGATAAAATCATTCTTTTTATAATCAAATACATCTTTTTTAATATAAATTGGAATAATATAAATTAAATCGTACCCAAGAAACCAAAATAATATAGAAATAATATATATATATATATTAATTAAGTAAATTTAAAAATATTAAATATAAAACCAAAAAGGATTAATTATATATGAAAATAATTTACAAATTATATATTTGTAAATTATTTTTTGTAAGATATTACATATAAAGTTTTATTTAGAATTTATAAGAAACTTCGTACCAATAGGGAACCAATCTTGACAGAGTGCTCGTACTTCCTCCAAATCATCTGGACACAGAAAACGTAACTGGACATCACCCAGAACACACAAAGGTACAGTTGCCGGTATCACGGAGGTTTTCTGCTCGTTAGATAAATTTCTTGAGGTATTTTCATCCGTGTATTTATGTTTATTTTCTTGAGTTACTTTGAAGTCACTTTTTTCGATTTCAGGTAAAATAAGATATCGATTAAAAGATACGGCCATCACGCCACAGTTTTTCTACCACTTCATTAGTCATTTCTCGAGCGATGTCAAGCATGTCAGGTTGCATGTAAACGTTTGCTAGTAAACATATTAAGATCCGCAGACATTTTGTTCCCTTCTCTATAATGCTTTATATTTATCTCTCTTTCGCGTACACTTATTTTCTTTTCTTCTTTCTCTCTATCTATCTTTCTCTTTCACCTTAGATTTCTAATATATGAGATTGAACACAACCTCAAAAATATGAATATAATTTTTTAAAATATATTATGCATATATAAATTAATAATTTACTATGTGAATCATTTTATCTTACAAAAAATGTAAAAAGAATTAATTTTAAAGACCAATTTAATAAATGATTTATTATGATATAAAGATCAGCGAAAAATTATCATAATTATATATTATGAAAAAATTTAAAAATTTGAATTTTATAAATATTTTTATTAGTTATAATTTTATTTTTGCAATCAATTATTAACAAAAAATATCATTATAAAAATAATAAAAAATTAGTTATTACTATATTTAAATGATTTTTATAGTAATATTAAATCAAAAATAAAATCAATAAAACTATGATAAAATATATTTGATTTGCGTTTTTTAATCGATAGAAAGAAAATACCATAATTATTTTATGATGTTACGCTATTGCATGAATTTGTCTTTAGTTGTAATTCTATGAACTGCTTACTATCGATAAAAAAACGAGAGCGGATTTTTAAAATCTTTTAAACGAATATGAATATAAAATATTCAAATATTATTCAAATATCCGTCGTTAGTGATTAAATAAAAGGATAATCGAAATTCGAAAAGTAAGCACATTCTATTCTAAAAAATTTTTTAAATTAATTTATTATGAAATGAGTTAAATTAACTGTTTTCAATTACACAGGATTTTTATATTGATATCATAATATAATCGAAATCTCTCATATGTCCTATTTTATATTTTTATTCACATTTCAAAAAAATCGTAATTTTTAAAAATTATCTTTATCTTTTTTGAGTATTTTTTTCTTACATATATACATTATGTCAAAATACGTACAAAACTTAACCTACCATTGGGCCAGAAGGAAGAGTCAAATTCTGGGATGAGAATTAAAAAATAGAATTCAACGAAAGATTTTACAGAAAGAAAAACAATTATTGAGCATTGAACCAAGCGTGAAATCTTCTGTAGATTTTGAAACGGTGTTATAAATAAAAATATCGAATAACAAAAATTCAAAGTTTTATTTTAATCTCCCGCGCATTTCGATGAACAGAATAGATCAGTGCTCTATAGGCACTAATCCCTGAATTTTTATAAATCTATAACAATAGAAATACGCCAGCGAAACAGAAACATAAAAATTCCTAGTAATTTCCTATACATTATTTAACTAGAAATTTTCTATAGAAAATAAATTATGGTGGCATTATTGTGATTTGATAACTAAATGTATATTGTCATGAAGTTATCTTTATAATAGAATATAGATTTTTATGTATATATATTTAATTTATAACAATAAATAATATCATTTGAAACAACATTGCCTCGCATAATACTTTTTTGAAACTTTTATGTCTATATTCTCTCATTTAATTAAAAAATTTGAGAGAAATGGGTTTAAACGTATGTTAATGATGTAAATAAATATTTGAATTGAAGTACTATATTGAACATACATTTTATATTTTGTTATTGTCTTTCAGTAATTTATTAATATCTAAATTTATATGTATAAATATATATACATATATATATATGTATAAAGGACGTAACGCAATGCATGTAATATTATATATAATATCGAGCGTTTGAGTAAAATATGTTCCTTATTTATAAAAGATTATCTGTTAAATTGGGTTATGACAGATAAAATTAAACAAAATTCGAACAATTTAATTGATATAATTAATTGATATAAATAAAGCGATAAAAATGGTTATAACAAAAAATCATTCAATAAGTCGATCTTCTAGTTGTTTACGAAAATATCGTATATTATTTGTATTTGGTATTACTGTACTATGTGTACAAATTTATTTAGCTCATACATTTTTTGGTTTGGAAATTCGAAATCGAAAATTTGACCGATTGTCTTCAGAAGACGTAAGTTTCATTATTTATAATATAACTATTAATTAGTAATTACATTATTGATATTATAATATAAATTTTTTTTAATATAGGATTCATCTCAACTTACAGAAGATGAAGGTTTACCAAAAGGTTTACGTCAATTGAAGCTTCCACCTGACAAAAATAGTAATTCAAATAAGATTTTACAATTTCAGCGAAACCGTACTACTAGAATAAAATTAGATCGTAAATCATTAAATTTTACTCCACCTTGTGAATTTACTGGCAGAGAAGCAGTGAGTGCTGTGACACGTGCACAAAGTCAAGTATGCAAACAACGCATTGTCAATGTGACGTGCCTTAATCAACAGGGATTATTATATCCAGAGAGAATACAGTCTCTATGCCCTCATTCTCCAGGATTTATAGATAAACCAGTCAGTTTAGGATGTTTTAAAGATGATAAGACATTAAGAATACTTTCTGGTTATTATAATGTTTTTAAAGGGAACAATTCTCCAGAACGCTGTGCTTTCTTGTGTCTTCAATCAGGATACATGTATGCTGGTACTGAATATTCGTAAGTACTGAAATTTTAAATTAAATATCATTTTTTATTTTTAATAAGCAATGTCAATATTATTTTTATTTTGCAATTTAATAAAAAGATTTGAAATATGTAATATTGAAGTATATTTTAAGAATATTTAATGAGTATTTAATTTTAGTATCGAATGTTTTTGTGGAATGGAAAAACCATCTCAATTAAAACGCTTACCAGATTCTAGTTGTAATATGAAGTGTTCTGGTAATCCAAAACATTCTTGTGGTGGATACCTAACAATTAATATATTTTGGACTGGAATTCAGAGTAAGGAAGTAAAAAAATTGATATATTATATAATTATATTTATTATTTAATTTAAATAATACAAATTTATAATATTTTTTTTTACTTTACAGGATTTAAGGCACAAGAAGCTCGAAATGCAAGTATAGAAAGTGAAAATGAAAAATCTGTTCAAATAGCATATTTGTTAACAGTAAATGGCAGAGCCAGTCGACAAGTGAGACGACTTATCAATATTCTTTATCATCCTTCACATTTATTTTATATTCATGTTGATGCGGTAATTAAACAAGTTTTTCCTTTTTTGATAATATGATAAAAAAATATTTTATTGTAATTCATATATCCTATATATTTAGCGACAAGATTATCTTTATCGAGAAATGCTAGAAGTGGAAAAATCTTGCAAGACAAATAATATTAAAGTGGCAAGAGGAGAAAATTTAAGACATGCAAGCATTTGGGGAGGCGCAAGTCTTTTAACAACTCTCTTGAAATCTGCACAACAAATGCTTGCACATCATCACCATTGGGATTTTCTTGTCAATTTATCAGAATCTGATTTTCCTATTAAAAATAATGCACAATTAATTCAATTTCTTAGTTTGAATAAAGGTATGAATTTTGTAAAATCTCATGGAAGAGAAGTTCAACGTTTCATTACTAAACAAGGTTTGGACAAGACTTTTGTAGAATGTGACACGCGTATGTGGAGAATAGGTGATCGTAAATTACCAGATGGTAAATTTTTTTTATTTATATTTGATATCAATTGTATAATATTTTTAATTTATTACAAAAAATTGTTTTATATAGGTATACAAATAGATGGTGGTAGTGACTGGGTAGCCTTAAGCAGAGAATTTGTAGAATATGTTGCTAATTCAAATCCGGATGCATTAGTGACTGATCTCTTAAAAGTGTTTAAATACACTTTATTGCCTGCCGAATCTTTTTTTCATACAGTTTTACGCAACTCAAGATTCTGCAATACATACATAGATAATAATTTACATGTTACTAATTGGAAAAGAAAGTTAGGTTGCAAATGTCAATATAAAGCTGTGGTTGATTGGTGTGGTTGTAGCCCAAATGATTTTAAACTTGAAGATTTCAGCAGAATTCGAAATACAGTAGATCGTAATTTGTTTTTTGCTCGAAAGTTTGAATCTATTATTGACCAAAGAATTATAGATAGAGTAGAAGAATGGTTGTATCCTGAGAATTTAAATAAAACTGTTAATGCAAAAGGTTATGATGCATATTGGCAAAGTTTATATCATAGAGCAGATTTGAGTCCTTTAACAGATGATGCATTATTGACTATTTCAAATTCTTTAGCAAGATTAACTTTTCATAAATTAAATATAAATTACAAAGATGTCCGTCTTTTGGAAACAACTGCCTATTTTAAACAAAACCAGTTTGTTGGAATATTAATTCTTGCTGAAGCTACAATACAACAACAAACTGTTCCACAAGAATATTTAGAAAGAGTAGAATCTTTGATCTACTTGAGACATAATTTTTCTACTAGTAGAGAATGGTTGGGAAAAATACAAAGTTTATCTGTTAATACCGATTATGATCAAAAAGAAAAAACATTTAGAAATTTAATGGGAAGCATAGGACCATATTCATATCCAATTTTATCATATGAATTTGATACTGGAATTATAACACCACAAAATGTATCAATATTATGGGTGGACCCTTATGGTCGATTAGCATATGTTAATTACATACAGCTTGAAGAAACAGCACTAGTAAATATAAAAATTCTTTAATTGATTGATTTATATCTGATATTTTTTTGAAAGATTAATATTTTATTTATTTTCAGACAGGGTATATTAGACCACAACTTAATGAACATCTAGTTGTGGGTACTTGGCATCTATTTTTAGTTGCTGATTCTTTGTTAGCAGCAAAAATGAATTTTTTAGTGACCCCTTTAGGAAATTGGAAAAATAAAAAAATTGATGCAGAAAAAGCTAAGGAAGTAAATAATGCATTTGGTGATAATTATCATATTAGTGCAGAAATGAATAAAAAATGGTCATATTTATTAAATTCTGTACATTTTTATAAACAATCTACATATATAAAAGATAATGAAAACAAGATTAATTCTAACTTGGATCAATGGATAGATAAGTTAGTACAGGAACATTATGAAATTGATAAAATATGTAATGCTAATAATACTAAATTAAAATTACAAAACTGTATTAATACTTACTGGAGTTCATTGAGTCCAGATTCAAAGGCTGATATCAATAACCTATGTTAAAACTATTAATTAGTTTACTAAATATGTGCCATTCTCAATATTTTTAAACAATATTTTAACTTATTAAATACGTGTAAAGGTTAATAATCTTTTTAGATATTTTTATATCAAATACATGCTATACATATTCATATGGTCTATTTTAAAAGTATTTTATATCCTGAAACTAAACAATTTTTAAAATAATGGTAAGGTGATTTTTTACTTCCTTTGCATATTAAGATTTCAGTAAAGTTTTTATTATAAAATGTTTCTTTTTCTATATATATATACAAAATTTTCTTGATATAGTTATATGAATATATAAAACTAGAAAATTTTTTTATTTCTGAAAAATTTATATACAATTAAATTGTATAAAGTTCTGAAAATTTTTGTATTTAACTGTATAAAAATAGAATATTTATTTAAAATTTTTTAAAAGAGTAATTAATCTTTTATTATAATATAATTTACATTTTATAAACTAATATTTTACACTCTAAATAAAATTTATAATTTTTATAATATTTGGATTACATTCCTATAAATATTATACATGTGCCTTCAATTTTGTTACTGATTAAAAAATTAAGATTTTAATAACAATTATGCGTATATATTGCTAAATATTATTTAAAAAACGTTCACTGTTTAAAAAAAAATAAATTAAAAATACTATTTTGTTTATTGTTATAAATTTTCATTTAAAAATAAATTTATTAATATCTTTTATTTTATTCTTATAATTGCATATTAATTATTTTGTAATAAATATAAAAATAACGCATAAAGATATCTATGTTACTATAATTTATAAATAACAAAAATAAAAGAAAACAAATCAAATTAAGAATTGTTTTATTATAATTTGTTTATTATTCTGAAATTAAAATTAAATACTATTAAATTTTTTTTTATTAAAACATCTTGATATAAAAGTATAAACTTTCATATATGTCAAATTTTAAACTAAAATTATAAATATATCATAGTATATATAAATACGATAATTAATATTTTTTTATATTTTATTTTATTTATTTTTTCGTTCGAAACTATTTCTTAAAAATAAAAATTAAGTTTAAGTTAAAGAAATTCAAGCATTGATTTTTATGAATTTATTATATACATCGTGTGATAAACCTATATGATGCAATTGGAAATGTGAAAAGTTGAAATAAGTTAAATGAATAATAAAGTTTCAAAAAAATAACTAAAATTATAAAATTTTCAATAATATCAGCATAAAAAGAAATAAACAATATAAAGTTATATTAATAACTCTAAAAATTATTATAAATTTAAATCCAATTTTTTATTTGTGGTTAGATTTAGTTTTTTTTAATAAATTGTGAATTCATATATATATATCAAATAAATATAATAAATATTGGAAAAAATAAAAAAGTTATTCCATATAATTACATAATTTAATAACATATTGTAACAATTTTAAAAATAATAATCTTATAAGATTAAAAAATTTTTATTATTTTTATATTATGAAAGAACATAGATATTATTGCGATATATAAATTAAAGAATATTACATAAGTCAATAATTGATAAATAAAAATATATATTTCTTTTTGTAAGAAAATTTTTATAATATAAATAATATTGCAGTGATATTAATTTAAAGTGAAATGAAATAAGATATAATATAATTATAAGTAATGTGACATAAATAAAATCATAATAATGTATAGATTAATGCATCATCAAAAATTTATTTTTCAAAATCAAAGGATTTTACCTTTTACATATACTTTTATGCGATATCAAATACAACAAGAAAAAAAGATAGAAAAACATAAAATATCTAACATCAAAGAATATTGGTTTAATAAATATATAAATTATATTAAAAATTATGAAAAAGTATTGGAAAAAAGATTTCCAAGAACAATGCATGTATATCGTATATTTAGTATCGGTACCAAAGATTTTATTCAAGATACAAAAAAATTTATCCAAATAATGAAAAAACAAAGTATTGATGATATTGATACTTTAACTGCTGATGAGTTACAATTATCATATACAATGCGTAAAGATATTGTAAAGTTATTTCCTGTTTTATTAATATCTGCAATTCCTTTTACAAATTACATCATCTTTCCTTTAGCATATTACTTTCCAAGACATCTTTTAACTTCTCATTATTGGACATTACAACAAAAACTTGAATTTATGCTATTGGATCATAAAAAAAGATTAAGACATAACAGACCATTATTCAGGTGCATGCAAGCAGAGCTTCATAATATTAAAGATCACAAATTAAAATTAAAATGGAGTGGTATTATTGCATGTCTTGGCAGTGGTACACATCCTAATGTGAAAGATATTATTGCCTGTTCTGAATTATTTGCAAATGAACCATTTTCATTAGATAGTCTTAAAAGGAACATATAGTATGTTAATATAATTTAAATTAATTGTATATACTATTCAATTACACTATTAAATTAATTTAAAATGAATAATTAAAAAATATATATATATTGTTTATTAATAATAATTTTATTTTTTTTTAATGTATTAAAAATAATTTTAACTTATATTTTAGAAGAATTACTTGGTATTCATAATATATCTTCTTGGAACTTTTTAAAAGAAGGAAATTGAAAGAACAGAGTATGTTAATAAAACGAATGGATCAAGCTCTACAAAGAGAAGGTGGAACTACAACAATGTCAAATGATGCAATACGCTGGGTCTGCATAAAATAACAATTTACTAATATTTTCAATATTTTTTAAATTATTTATTTAATGATTTCTTTACATATTATTTTACATTATACTTATTATACATATTCAAATTATAAAATATTTTAGGCACTTTCATTTAGGGGTGTAAATCCTGCAAATATGTCTTTAGAGAGTATGAGAAATTGGCTTGAACAATGGTTTATAATATCAAATACAGTCAATGAAAACACACTTTCATTATTATTACATTGTCCAATATTGTTGGCATACAATCATCCTACTAACTGGATTCTTGTATATAGTTAAAATTGCTATTAAATTTGTTTTTTATTATAAAAAAGATATAAAAATTGTAATAATAAAAAACTTAAATATTTATGTTTGAATGGTTTGTATAAATTGTTTTAAATGATATTATTTAATTTTTATTTATTATATATTATTTTTTATAGAATATATATGTTGTGCATATGTATACATAATAATACATATGTATATGTGTAGATGTATGTAAAATTTGTCAGAATAATTTCTTCTTTACATATCTAATAATAATTTATTGATTATTTTTTTTTAATGATTCCATTATTTTAATCAAACAAAAAAAACAAGACTGTATATAAAATAATAATAATTATTTATGTATAGATAAAATACTCTTATTTTGTCAAATATATATTTTTCATTTGTGTATACATTACAAAATATAAATCTTATTTTTTGTATATATTTGAACATAACATAATACAAATGTAACTTTTTTAATAGCTATAAGTATAAACTTTATTACTAGCTAAAACGTAAATTTTTTTATCAAATTACACAAATATGATATGTCATTTGAAATAAATAGATTCTAAGGCAGACTTTAAAAAATATCGAAAGAATTTTATAGATAATCTATTTATATTAGTCAATAGGTATATAAGCAGGCAGAACACCAATTGGAGGACGTTTCAGTACTTTTGAATCAGAAACTGTTTCTGATTCATCATCTATTATTGTTTCTGAATTTGTGTTATTATCAGATATTTCAATTAATGTATTAGAATGAGATATAAGCTCTATATTTTTCATAAGTCTAATTTTTTTCATGATACTTTCTCTTTTCTTATCAAGAGATTTATTTAATGAATCTGCTTGTTCATAATATCTAAGTCGGTTTTCATTATTAGAGGATGAAGTATCTTTTATAATAGGTGCTGTTGCCTGATTATTATGTATATTGTACTTTCTTTTTAACTGGTTTTGTTTCTTAGAAGATGATTGTGATTTATGTGGATAAGGACAATGCTTACCTTTACTGCATTTTTTTGTTTTTTCGAACTCAGGACATAAATTTTCATGACGTTGCTTACACTGTAAAAGAAGATACTACCAGGTTTCTTAAAATATTGTCTTTTTTTTTATGTATCATTAGTATATTATAAAATGAAATTAATAAATAAAAATATTCAAAAATAAATATTTAAAAACATTCGCTCGTAAAATAAAACAAATTTTTTAGTATCAATTATATGTTATATAGTATCAAATATATTTTTTCTTTTAATAAATTATATTTTAGTTTAATTATCATCAAAGAAAAAAATTTTAATTAAAATTCAATTTGTTAATATATTGGAGAACTTTTAGAAAATCAATTCTAAAGATCAAAACAAACATAATTGATATACAAAAATGTCGATTGAAGATTTATTTATTAATAATAAGTAATTTAAAAAAATAAAAGCAATAACTTTATTTCCATTAAATCGTCGCTTTGTTTTTATTTAATGCACATTTAAATTGTTTATAAATTAATAAATAAGCTTCAACTAATATTTTTGTATTTTTTTATATTTGTTTTGGTCCTTAAAATCAATCTTTCAAAGAAATTTCCACAAATATATTAATATTCTCTCTCTCTCTCTC